CCCGTTCTTGGCGGAACAAGTATCCGTTGATCTCGAAGTGACTGTTGTCAATGACAAAGTCCAGAAGGTGCCGGAGATCTTGTTCATGAAAAGTTCGAGGAATCTTGGTTTGATGGCGCCATTTTCCTTTGAACATACGGCGTCGATGATCAGACTTTACTTCGAACACTGACCATTGAGAGGATCTGCGAAGGCCAACAACTTGAGCGTACCGATGGAGAAGCACTTGTAGTGCCTGGTGGAAGCGTTCCGTAGGAATGGACGTGAAGAAGCCTGACAGGTCTTGTGACACCAGGTGGATGTATTCATCGGGATCTGCCTTTGACAGCGACTCCCACAGCTGCTGGACAAGTTCTTGTACTGAAAGTTGACCTGCAATGTCAGGAAAAGTAGCTTTGGTAAGTTCAAATATGAGGGCGCCGAAGACCGTGAGGAAGGGGGCTGCCCACGTGCAAAAGAATGAAATGACGGGTCGTGCTTTCTGCCAGTCCTTGGTCGGCTTTGGAAGGATGCGAGCTGTGGGCAACAGTGCTTGAAGTCGAAGTCCCCATGCATATCGCTGACGTAGGAGGGAAGGTACCGTAGTTACCACTTCAGAGCGAAAAGATGCTGCGGATTCACGGCAAAGCGAAAAGACATCTCCCGAGCAAAAGGTCTTCCGCATCAGTATGGCAAACAGGGACGGACAAATCACATGTGCGCGGGAGGGGAAATGATCCGCGGGGATTACAACCCACGATGACGGGGAAGCCACGGCGCGCTGCAACGATGTCGATGACCAATAAGCACGATCTTGAAGGTTAGCTCGATGAGTGTCCATCAACTGAGTCAAAACCGGCTGCAGATCAACAAGGAGACTGGAACCATGCACATGCCAGCGACGAGCAAGTTTGCGAAGTTGCGTGGTGAAACGTTGATGTAACAAGTCGACATCACCGAAATACTGATCCTTCATTGATGCGGCCATGATTTCCATGTCAATGTCCGCATTGATGCGTGAGAACTCATCAACCATTACAGCATGTCCATGTGCTCGGTGTGTATGGTGATCATCGATGTCCAAACAGCGACACGGAAAGGATGTTTCAGGAGTCCATCTGCGCTGCCATGTGCGGTAGTTGTAGATTTTGTCGCCCAACGTGGCACTGCGAGTTTCCACCACCCGGATCTTTGGAAGGAAGAGGGAAGGAAACAAATCACGATGAGAAGCAATCCAGCTTTGTAACCATGTGCCAAGTAGAGCTTTCCAATTCCCCAAGTAGAGCTTTCCAATTCCGTACATGTAGAGGCGGTAGGAGTAGTTGTGTCAAAGTGGTGGGTGATTGTAGCTGACGTTTGCGTAACACCTGGGCGAGGAGTTTCTGCGCCTTGGAGCGGAAGGGCTCGTTGACAAAGACGGAGAGCCGCAGAAAGTAGTAAAGCTGAGTAGGAGGGAAAGCTGCCGACAGAAGGTCACGCATGGCTTGGAACGATGCACCTGTATTGGATCCCAGCTGATAGAGAATAGAGTAATGGGCCTGAATGTCATCCAGCATGTCGGGACGTAGTTGCCGTTGGAGATCCGGATGTAGTCGTCGTCGAAAGCGTTTGTGCAAGCCGAGGGAAGTGGGAGACGACAACGAGTGACGTCGAAAATCAACGAGGTGTTCCCGGAAGCCCACCTTTCGCAGAAGTCTGTGTACCCAGGGTGCATTCAAATGCGGGCGTAGCAGGTATTGCCATTTGCTTTCCTGGACCCAAACCGAGGAAACGGGAAGTTTGATCTCAACCGGAACAGCACAGACGAGCCAGTAAGTATTGGATCGCTTCCAGTAGTGAAGCGCGGGTTCGAAGAAGGCATGACGTCCCCGAAGTAGTTGTAGAAATTTGCGACTGCGTGAGTGTTCTCGTCGTAGAACATCCTGATCAGTCGCACCAACGTAGTAAGGTGTGTGCCATGGGGAAAGTCGGATGTAGACGCACGGTTGTTGATGATGACCTGGATCGTGAATGAAGTCATAGAGGTCCGGAAATCGTGCCCGCAATGAGCGAAGATGTCGCGTGTCGGCAAAAGTGGAGTGCATGATTTCACACAAGAGAGAAGCCTTGTAGAAGTGAAGGACTTCAAAGAACGGCGGAAAGTAGCCATGATCTTGGGAAATGAGACGTTGTAAGAAACTGATCAATAAATAGGCAGTGCACCGACATCTATGAATCTCATACCTGTTGGCCACAGTGTGTTGAGAGTGTGACATAGCGTGATTCGGAATCTGAGGGGCAATCCGGACCACAACTAAGACTTCCAGAATGAGGCCCAACCACGGTAGTTGTGTGATTGATTCGTACTCATCAGCTGGTATCGACGGTGGTGGTAGTCCAGGGAAACAGTATTGCCAGCACGTAGAGAACATGGTCAACGAGTGTAAAAAGCTGTCCAGAGACTGCCATTGTGCAACATCATCATAGATTCCACAGCGGCGAAGCTCATCCAACATGGTGAAAATGCAACCAATGAAATCTACCATAAGGCGGCGACATGGATACAAGCTGCACAGACAATCACGCACAAGGCAATGCAAGCACAACCAAGCACAAGATCAAACTGATGCAACGCAGAAAGATGACGGACGAGTTTTAACCTTGACTCATCCGTGACACGGTTGCCGCTCCGGGCTCAGAAGAGAACGAAGGTCGTTAAGATGCCTGCTCATCAGCTGAGTAGTCGAGCGGTCACGATGAGGTGACTCAATGCCTTCTCAGTGAGCTTGGTGAGATAGCCGGGCTCCAGTCCCCACGAAGCCGCCATCGCCCCGAGAGTGGGTGCGTCGCCTTTCGGCATGCGTTGACGCGCTTGAAGGAGCTGCGTCGCCATGGAATCTAATGACTTGTTGCCGTTGAGCCGGGACGGGTGATTGGCACACTTGACCAGTGACGTCAAAGTCGTGGTTGTGGGCGATTGCTTGAGATAAAGGCGTGGCTGGTCACTGGTCCATGTGTAGTACTTGACGACTTCCTCCGAAGTGCTGTGCATGGTGAGCAATTGTGACGCCGCCGGCTTGGACGGCGGTGAAGACACTCCGTGAAGGGACTGAATGATCCGGGGTTGCGCCGCGCCATCAAACGACTTGCCATCAAGGGCCGCTGCGCTGGCTGTAGGGAGGGAGCTGGCAGGTGACGAGGATTGTGTGTGGTTGACCGGTGGCGGTGTAACCAACTCTGCATCATCTTTCTGGCTTGCCATCGTGGGAGAGGTCGAAGCGCGCAGCGATGCTGAATACTGAGCCTGGAGCAACTCATGCGCACGATTTAGATCATTGTACTTCTTGACCATGTCATCTGTCTGGGTGGAAGGTGTGAGAGAAGCGTGGTGTTGCTGAAGAAATTGAAGTACCAAGCTGGCCAAATGGTCATGAACCTTGATCCGCTGATTGAAGTCATCGATGTTGAGACCCAGCGAGTTGGCAAGGTCCTTTTCCAGGGTGAGCAGGTTGATCGACTGTGATCGTCGTAGCAGTTTGGAACAGGTACTCCAAAGTAAGGCCTCGGTGCGAGTGCGAAAGCCTTCCCACGTCACGAATCTGCCGTGAGCGAACGGTCGGAGCAGCCAGTTGGTGAGGCCCCCATGAATAACCTGAACCAGGCGAACGTCACGAATATCCATGCCTGACATGTCGCGCAGGTTGCCATGCGGAGTGTTGGCAACGGTCATGGGCAGGCTAAAGTTGTAGAGCTGATTGACATCAAACATGCCATCTCCAGGTGTCCAGTCAGGCGATGGTGTAAGCCAGGTTTTCTGAGGGCGAACCGGTAGAGCCGCAGGAGGTCCAGGTGGCGGTGTAGGTTGTGGAGTAGTGAGTGGTGGTGGTATCACGGGTGGCACGAACTTCGTTGGCGTGGGGTCTGGAGGGATCGGCATCATGTAGTTGATCGCTGGGTGTTGGAATTGCTGTGTGGGACTGTGAGTCGATTGAAAATTGGTGGGCATCATCGGGAAATTGTTGGCAGAGTTGTAGCCGGAATTGTGTTGCCAAGATACCAGGTTGTTCTAATCCATGCCTTCCGAGACGTGGTAGTCATTGTGTTCACGTCGGTGTGCTTTACGAGCCTGAGGAGAAGTAGTCCGATCACGTCTGCGCCGAGTCCTGGATCTATCACGATCATCACGTCGAGACATGGTTACACAATCGACTCTCAATCTTCACGCTTCCATCTTGAGAGACACATATCAGACAACAAGCAAATCCATGCACCGGCAACGTATCAACGAATCCAACATAAGGCAAGCAAACATCGATGGTGAGACGTCGCTATGATCTGACCGCTGTCTTCCCTTTAGTGAGACCTCGTTCCTGGTTAAATGTGAAATTCCGCAGTTCTATGATAAGCGCGTTGAGGTCAAATTTCCGACAGAGCCGGCCCGGGGTCACACAATGGGTACACCCGAGGATTCCCCACGAATGGGGTGTACACACTTAAACTCCAAATGGAGAGTGCTAATCTTTCGAGTACAACTGATGAGTCTCGAGTACAACTGATGAGTCTCGAGCGGGTGTAGGTTCCGCTTGCATTCACTTGGTTTCCGTCTAGCAGCGAACACGTTACCCGAAAGAACAAGAAGCACAAACAGCGCCGCAACCAAGGGGGCCAAATAGACTTTCAGAATCACCGATGCAGGTACGTCCAGCTGGCCAAGCTGGATATCCCACTTCACTGGTAGCTTCGTTGGACACAGTCCCAGTGAAGTGCTGTGTCCCCCTGCTGAGAAACCGAAAGGGTGGTGACAGGGCATTCTGTCACTCCGCACACACACACACACGGTCTCACGGTCTCACACATTAGTTTTCCAGATGCCGTTGCCTGCAGAGCAGTCCGGCGGGTTTCAGCACTGGGAGGGGCCTATAATTCTTACACCGCATGTTTGTTTGCATCACGCTATGAAGCAGTTGATGTCCCGGGCAACCAAACATGGGTGGTGGGTTGGAACGCATTCTCTTTTTGCACGTCATGCTGCCACGGCCAAGGCGGTTTTCTCCTGAGTTCAGCCGCGCAGATGCAGGTACTAGGATTGCTCGGACTACTTTGAGGGGCAACGTGCTTTTGTATGCTTTTGTCAGATTTGCTAAAAGCAAATTTGACTGAAGGCTTTGGCCACAAGCATGATTTGCGATTGTGTGCCCTTCTTCCTGTTGCCACCTTTGTGATTTGGTTCCCGCCAACTCGGACAATGCGCGCTGAAAAAACCAACGGCTATAATTTGCTTGTGCCACGAGAATACCGGGTCGTGTTGCCCTGCAAGGCAGATGGAAGCACAGTGCCGCCCCAGCTACTCAATGCAGTTTCTTGGCGAAGTCAGTTCAAGACATGTGAATGCAGTCAGCAGGTTGCCATCCATGCATCGCCATTTGCAATTTACAGCTTGGCTCTACATGTGACGCTGTACGCTGAAGTGACGGGCTGTTGTAAAAAACAGCCAAGCCCCTTCTTCCAATTCACAGTTGTGCCCTTCCTGTTTTGACAGCTAGGCTGTTTCGCCAAGGCTCGCATTGTGCATTGTTTCTTGAATGAATCATGAGATGTTGGTCGTGAGTCGTTATGTTTGTCCTTATTTATTTGTTTATTGTTTTTTGCCTTTCTGTCTTTCTTTCTTCATTAATTTCTTTCTTTCTTTATGTTTGTCTCTCAATCTTTCTTTTAAAATATGCACAACCTTCCTTATTTGCTTATTTCTGTCTTTCTGTTTGTCTTTCTGTTTCCTTCTTTCTTTCTGTTTTTTTTTTCATGTCGTTCTGTCCGTGTTTCTTTATGTTTTCCGTGATTGGTTTGTTTGTATTGTTGTCCTTTTGTTTTGTTCGTGCTTTGTTTTGTTCTCTTGTGTTTTGTTGTGTGTTGTCAAAGGGCTGCCGCGCTGTGACCCTCTCTTGTGTTGGCACAACCCATGTGGAAGTGAAGTGAAGAAGCAACTCGACTGGTTTTAGGTGTGAGAGAATCACTTCTCGCAGCGGACGATGATGATAACCACAATGAGGATGATAATGATGATGACGACAACTTTGATGATGACTATCATCATAGCATCCCTTGCATTGCAAGTCGGGGCCAACGTGACACTTGACGTATGCATGTATCTATATATATATATATATATATATATGAGAAAGATAAGACAGAGAAGAAAGATAAGAAAGAGACAATGGCGACTGGCCAGGATGATGATGATGATGATGATGATGATGATGATGATGACCATCATCATAGTTTCCCTGGCATTGCAAGTGGCGCAAGCAGACGCTGATGATAAGCATGATAACAATGACTCTGGCGATATCTATCATCATAGCATCCCTGTCATTGCAAGTGGCGCAAGCAGACGATGATAATGACGATGGCTAGTGGTGATGATGATGACGATGTGTGATCATGATGCGTTGCAAGCCGCGCCAGATATAGATTTCTTACACATCTTGCGCAAATTGAAAGTCTATAGTTATGCTGACAATATTATGACGATGATGAGGAACCGAGCAGGAACTAGGATAATGATGATGATGCTGGTGATAGAAATGATGATGAGGACCCCAGCAGGAATGATTATGATCCCGTGCACCTCGCCTTTGCAGACAAGGGGTCGGCGGATTTGTTTTTGGAAGGGTTTGCTTGCTCGCTCGCTCGTTGCTTGTTTGCTTGTTTGCTTGCTTGCTTGCTTACTTGCTTGCTTGCTTACTTGCATGTGTTTGGTTTCCCTTTGCGCGTGCAGTTTTCCAAGGTGTTGGCTGGTGGTGCGGCAGCTTGCCTTCACATCTTGCCCACTTCGTGAGTTTCAAGATTGAAACTCAGGTCGTGCGGCAGGGCCGTGTCGTCCTTCGGGGATTGCGCCTGGTGAAGGCGACCAGCTTGAACGCGCGTCGGGTCGAAAGGCACGCTGATTTTCAGGCGCTGCGCCTGGGTAAAGCTGTCGGACTGGCTGCAAGTGCCCTGGCCGTCGGAAATGCGCCAAATTCCGGAGAGATTGGTGTGGCGAGCGCACAGATTTGTTGCCGCACCATAGGCGCAAGCTGGGCCAATCTTGGCGGCTTTGTTGGCCAGGCGCAGCTTCGGAGATTGTTTCTGATCACTCATCACACATTTGCTTCTCTTTAAACAGTTTGCAACTGACAAATTTAATGGACCACCCCATAAAGAGGATGAAACAACAGCTGGCATAGATATGCGGTCTCTAGTTTTTTGCACATGCGGATCGGAGCTGATATGGCATTCAGCAGACGTTGTGCACTGGTTCTTATTCACTGCAGTCACAGCTTGCGATGTTCGGCACATGTTTTCACGTTCACTTTTCTGGAGGCAATAGCTGGGAGCTTGCTGGATGATGGTAACGCATCAACTGCAGTAGCAACCGCTGCGGGCGGGTGGGCTGGCGGACTTGCAGGCACATGTTTTGCTATCCTGGAATTCCTCAGTTCCATGAAATTTTAAGTCAGCCTTGTACTTTGGTGCCTGTTTGGTACCTGAGTCAGGCAGTGGCGTTGCAGCAGCTGCGGCGTCGAGCATTGGCATCGAGGCTGGCTACTTGAAGCCCAAAGCCATGGATGTTGATTGACTTCCTCTCAAGGCGCTGGGTGGTGGATACGTGGCTAGTGGCTTGGTGGTGTGCGGCTCGCTGAGCGCGGTTGGAGCCGCTCGCCTTTTGCATTCTGCCTGGATTAAGTGCAAATGTCTCTTGGAGAGTGGGTGAGAAGACAGTTGCTCAGCAACTATCAGAATGCCACCTAGTCAAACATTCCTGTCTTCAATTATGATCCTGCGCACTTGCAACATCAACAAAATGTTGTTGGGTAATACAATCGTATTCAGGTTGCTCGAAGGTATCTTTAGCCATGGATGCTGTGCGGAGGTTGCGTTGGTGTTCCCATAGTTTTTTTGGCGCACCTTTCGTGACAAAGGCCGTGGCAGGTGCGGGATTGGCATTTGCGGTCAAGCGGCTCCTGGCCGACCAGGCGCAGCCTTTAGACACCTTGGTTGGCTTGGGTACTTGTACTGGGCTCATCAAACACACTCCTTAATCCTAACCAGGATTACGGACTACAAACTTTCGGATTGTCATGTTTGTACAATGTATTTGTTGCATGATTTTGCAATTGGCAATCTGGTTCTTGCCAGTGAGGGCAGAGGCAAGACAGAGACGCAGGCCGGCGCACAAGCAGATCGAACCTCGGACTACTACGATTGTCCGCTCCGCTTGCTAGGGAGCGCCGATGATGACGCTTGCCACAAAATAGCATGCAGTTGCTCATTGCTTGATCCATTTGCACTTCTCATTTAAGGTGTTTCACCTCTTCGGTGCAAGTTTGGAATTTCCTCCAGAAGATGGACAGCTACATAAATTAAGAGGGGCAGCTTCGATGTTGTGCCTGTTCTAGACCTTTGATAGCATGAGCATATGACAGGACTTGGCGGCCCAGAAGAAGACATGCAGCTTGGACATCTTCCATTGCCATATGTTCGATTCGACTGGCTTTGCTCTTGCGGATGAAACAAGTTGAAAGCATTATGTTTGAGCCGTCCAGGCCGCGTCTGGCCGCTGCGGGTTGGTATGCTGTCAGGGTGCAGCCAGGGACAGCCATGGAATAAAAAAGACTGGTTGCAAGATGAGCAGCTTGCCAGTTTTTGCGCTTGCAACAAAGGATGACTCACTCAGCGTGGCATCATGTGCCGTTTCCAAGGACACGGACTTGCCTGTCAATCGCAAGCTTCACTCCTTCGGCGAGTGCTTTGCTTACCAGTTTGGGGAGGTTCAAGTTTCAGTTGACATGGAGTCATCAGCTTGCTTGTCAACAAGTGTTGGAGTTTTGTCAAGAGATGTTGAGCATTTTTCGGCAACTGCTGTGCCCAGGTTCCATGCAGGCAGCAGGGGCAGCAGCTATCTTCCGGGGAAGTTGCTGCAACAGTTGCAGCCTGAATTTTGATTCTGTTTTTGCGGCGTATGTGTCTCTGCGTGGGTGCCCAGAGCAAACTGGACTGCTGAAGGCGTTTGCCTCGGACATTCAACGAAAGCATGGAGCACATTGCCCAAGAACGTCGCGAGGCAGCTTAGCGCTATGTGCAGACAGTACAAGAAATGCCAGCAATGCCTGTGCCAGGAATATGGTATGCCAAGAGGTGTGACTGGACTTGGACGTGGCTTTGACCCCTGGTCGCGGCCAGGAAGAGTCAATGTGCCTCGTCTCTTATCGTCTGATTCGAAGCCACAGAAACAGAAGCCAAGAGAGTCAGTGCTCAGGCGATGCCGTCAGATGCTGGCACCTGAAAACGCCTATGGGTTAATGAAGATGTGTTGCAAGCTGTGATGAAAGCATGTTTTTTTTTGCAAGGCCGATTGGTTGCCGAACCATCGCGCGCGTACCTTCAATGGCAGAGCAGAACTCAGTAGTCGAAACGAGGATGTCAGCCCATTGGACTGCACAAATCCAAGTGGCCCAAAGCGCCTTAGGCCTGCAGGGCGAACGCTGCGGGAGTTCGCCGATACAGACACCTGCAGGCACATTCATTGTCGGGCACCAAGCCTGGCATTGCGAAAGTTGTTTGGCTGTGGCTGAAAAACATGTACCAAAATGGCACCTTGCTAAATGGCACAAAAGACTAACACCTACGTGGCCCTAGCTCTTTAATTTGAGCCATACCCATTTTGGGGAATCCTCTACCAAGGCCACACCAACCTGGAGTGAGTCTGGTGAGCCCATGCCTTGAGTCGCATCAGTTGCGATCACTCAACCTCGCGTTTGCCAGGTGTTTTGCCACTCAGGTTTACCACTCGCCGTGAAGATCCTTGCAGTCCTTTGTACGTCCAGGCAATATGAAGCAGGGTTATCTTGGATTCAGTGTTTGCATGTGGAGCATACTGCGTAGCTTCGGAGGCTACGCCGCAGCGTTGGGCTAGTGAGCACTGCCAGGATGAAGGGGATTAATTTCTCATTGCAGCAAGATCACATCCGTTGGCAGTGTCTCAATTGCGAATCACGGCGTGCCCAGCAGGAAATGTCGCAGCATCATGCACCACTCCAATCTTCCGTGTATCCTGGTCAAGCACTTATGGCTTGATCGGTATGGCACAATGTCTTGCAGTGATGACATCAGAATCCCATCAGAATTCTCGTAGTGCCCAGGATTCGGGCTTTTGGGCTCCGTTTGGCACTGAGCTGGGGTAAGCTAATCTGGCAGATCCAATCTTTCTGTGATTCGTTGCCATGCAGTTGTTCAGAATTCCAAATTCCTTTTATCCCGTCTAAGATTCGGATTTCGCCTGTATTTCTGCGGTTACAAGTTGCGGGAAGAATCCTTCTTCTGCCCGTCTCTGAGACCCGACCCACAGGAATTTGACTCGCTTTGCCCATGGTGACTTTCAAGCGTCTTCTTGAATACTGAAGGTTCCCTTAAATGTGTGATCTAGGCGGAGTGTTTAGGCAGGAGTGTCGTAAAGTGGAGCTTGGAATGCGGCATGACGACCAGCCAGGGCTTCTACAGGCGTTTTTGTAAAGATCGTATTTCCGGAACAATTCTTGCACCAGCAACCCAGGACCAGACTGCATTCTTGGGCATGTTCGGCAATACTCGTGAGAACCACCATAGAGCGTAGGGCGTAGGTTGTACATATGCATACGTGATTGCTGTTTCGAATGACAAATGAAGTAATTGTCAACTATATATATATATATGTTATATATATGTGTGTTGAAGTTATACAGGAATACTTGAATTTTAGAACCTGAAGGTCAATTTAGATACGATTTATATGTTTTTCAAAGATGATGATATGTGTTAAGTTTTTGAGGTTGGTTGAGGGGTTGATTTTATACGGCAGTGGTTTTTTTTTTCCATTGTACGTCTGGCAAAGTTGTTGGTCTCGCCGATGTAGACAAAGGGTCTTAGAGAGGAGATATTTTTAGAATTGTTTTTTGTTGTTTTCTTTTGTTTTTTGATTGGTTGTTTGTTTTGATATATTTTTGTGTTTTTGTTTTTTTTTTGTGTCTTTATATGTATATATATATATTTGTTTTTGTTTCTCGGTGTTTTTTTGTTTTGTTTTTTTGTGTTCTTGTTTGATTGTTGTTTTGTTTGTTGTTTGTGTGTGTTTGTATGGTTTTTGTATTTGATAATTTTATATTTTTGTTGTTTGTTAAATATATATAATAATAATTATATTAATTATATTTTAATATTTATTTATTTTATTTAATTATTTAAATTATAATAATATATGGGGTATATTTATGATATTTGGCTTTAAATGGTCGTTATGTTTGGGTTGAAATAGGTTTATTAGGGGCTAATTGGTATTATAATTATATTTTGGTTTTAAATATATTAGGATTTCGAGAAAAAAACATTGCCGGATTATATTTTGTGTATATAGGTTTTATGTTGATTCGTCGATGTTCCGAAATTAGTATTTTTTTTTTATTGTTAAATATTTTTTTTTTTATATTGGGATTTGATTTGTAATATGGGTTTAAACTACGAAGAGAATTTGGGAAAAGAAATATTAATTAACAAGAAACTTAAGAAATATATAATTGGAAATGAAGAATTATTAATTTCGGGATACTAATAAATTGTGGAAATCGAATATAACTACGGCATGGGAAAAGAAATATTTCCGACGAATTTAGATATTATATAATTATTTTATAAAATATTATAAAAAAATATTTCTTAAAAAAGAAGAAATATATTATAAACATTCTATATTTTTCATTTAATAATTAAAAAAATATGTATATATATATATTTATATTATTATGGAATTTATAATTAAATACAAATCCAATGGAAAAATGGACATAGAGAGATTGTGGTAGAAAAAGGATGCCTTAGGCGAACCAATTTTTTTCATAAAAATCTTTTTAAAAAACATATATTAAAACAATATCTATATTTATTAAATATTTAAAGAATTTTTATTTTAATATGGAATCTTCGATGATTATCATGATTCGTCAAGCCTATACTAGCAAAGACCCTAAATAATTAAAGACTAATGAGCAAGCATAGATGTACTAACAATTTGTGGCTTTCTATACTTAAACACGGATAAATCAAAATGATATAGTCCCGGTATATATTGCATTATTACACATATACAATAGCGAGCGAGCGTGCTCGCATGAACGCAAGTGTGGCTACACAAACACGTAATCCTATGGGCAATTTAAGCCTATATCCAATTTAGAAATTTAGATATACCAATATATATATATATATATGGAATAGATATATATATTTATATAACTAAAATCATATATATAACAAGAAAAGATATACACCCGTAAACGCGAAATATATATCACCTGCGGCACATGCATAATGCGTTAAGCTGGAAAGGCAAGATATGTATGTTTCTTGTAAGAAATATATATATATTTAAATTAGATATATATATATATATTCATTTACAAGATGTTAATATATTCATATGAATTATACCTATATTCATTAGAATACGATAAAATACATATCCAATTCAAAAATATATATGGGTACACATAGAACATACATATGGCCATCTAAATCATAAATATATATAATTATAATATATATATATATCTAAATATAATATATATATATAATATATATATATACCGAACAAACCTATACATATACATGCAAAACATACACACATATACATTCATCTAATAATAAAAAGATTCCTATATATATATAAATACATAAATATATATATATAGATTATATATATATACATAAATATATATATATACAAGTGGAATATATATATATATACTCCTAGAATATATACATATATATACATACATATACCTAGAACATATATATATATAAAAAACACATTTCTGTTCATTTGCAAGATACATTTATGTTCGTCTAGAACCCATACATTCGTTCACTTAAAACAGGCAATTTTGTTCACGCGCAACATTAATGCAGACCTAAATCGAATACATATATTGAAGCTAAAAAGAATCTATATTCATCCATAGCATTTATCTTTTTCCATATATAAAAAAATATATATATCAAAATCATGTAATCCATATATATTCACTTAAATATTAAATATAGTTCTCTATACGCCCCCGAAGCCGGTGTAAAGCGCTATCTTATATGCATATTCCAAGTAGGAAAATAATGTTCGTGTACGATCAATTTAGCAATTTTGTATTATTATTATTCCTTTCCAATATTTTACAGGTTTCATCTTAACAAAGCTTTCCGGCGCATTACATTTCTTTTTGTTTAATTCTCAATATTTTTCAATTTTTCGTTTATCCAGTAAATCGTATTCCATAATACTTATATACCAAAAAAATAAAAAAAATAAAAAAAATATTACCTTATTACCGCCTTACTAACATAAAACCACCACGACTTTACCCTATATTTTGGAATTATAATATAGATTTTACAAATTAATATTATAAAAAATATAAAATATATAAACTAACTCCAAATACCTTTTAAAAATATATACATCTTCTCCCAATTTTTATTAATTATTTTATAAATCAAATTTTCCATACCATCCATATTACCCATATTATTCAATTCAAAAAACAAACATCCAACATATAAATAATATAAATAACATAAATAATATAAAAATAATTTTAAACCAAAAGAATTTTTACAAACTAATCAATTAAAAATATATTATATTTGCCAAAAACACACAAAACAAAAAATCAAAAATAATGAAATACAAATAACAATACAATAAACCATAAACAAAAATCAACCAAAACAAACACAAAAAAAAGAAAAAAATAAACGCCAACAACCATAAATAAACACACAAAAAAACACCAACACAAAAAAACACCAACAACAAGCAAACACAAAAACATCAACAGACAAAAACGCACAAATGAAAAGAGATACAAATAAACAAACAAAGACAAACAGAGACGGACAAAAACAGACATAGACAGACACAAACACAGACAGACATAGACAGACACAGACAGACACAGACAGACACAAACAGACAGACACAAACAGACACAGACAGACACAGACAGACACAGACAGACACAGACAAACACAGACAGAGACAGACAGACACAAGCAAACACAGACAGACACAAACACACAGAAACAGACAGAGAAAGAGACGGACAGAGAAAGAGACAGACAGAGAAAGAGACAGAGAGACACACCAACAGAAAGAAACAGACAGGAACAGACAGAGATGGACAGAGATAGACAGGCAATGACAGACAGGCAATGACAGACAAAGACAAACGGAGAAATAGGCAGACGGAGATCGGCTTTATCAATAAATTCATGTTCAATTAATTGCCGCACCATTAATATGCCTTTTAAATGTCCTTTCAATATATTGTCCTTTATATGCAATCCAAACATTCATTTTTTGTCAAATCATTTTAGGTATCAATAGGGAGGAAATATAATAAACAACGGATGATGTCCGTTCTTTGAACAAGATGAATTAAAATCAAGCTCAGCGACGCGCAGAGCAAGGGGACAAAAAGTCTCCCAAGATTGTTTTCGAAGACAGCTTGAGGGAAAGGACGAGATTGAAAGAGTTGAAGCACCAACGATCTTGGGGTGAGACTCTGCTTATGGACCACGTGCGCTCAATGCATACAATGCTTCTGAGCATCAACATCTAAACACGCGCAGATGTCATGCCTTTGCAAAGACTTGTGACACCTTTGTTGCAAAATCCTGGATGAATCCAACCTTAGCTCTTTCAATGCTGGGTTCACCGTTGAAGCTCATCCCCACTGGTGGGCCGAGAGGCAATGGCTTCCTCCATGCGGCAGAACCATTCGTACTGCCTTGCCACTCTGGATGCGGTCGGTGCCGCTGCCACCGTGAGAGCCAATCGTACAGGGCCTCACCAAAAGCTGGCTGAGGCACAAGCAAATCAGCAGAGCTGCAAACAGCACCTCTGTCCTTGATTCCGTGGCGCAGCCAATTATTAACGTGAGCAATCGGCAGATTCGCATGCAGTTTTTCCACCCACCCACATCTGTTTGGACCTCGCAAATTCTGATCTTACCACTCCAACTAAACGCACGAGGACTTGGGTGTCGTGGCCTAGAATCTCGGCAGCAGCCAGTGCAGCTGCTGCATAGCCAAGTGTGCTTCCAGCACCTGGAGTGACTTCTTCTGAGCCTTCTACAATCTCAGTCACAGACACCAACACGTGTTCAATTTGCCCAAAGCCCAGGCACTGACTCTCTGCTGGATCTCTTCCGGAAGCATTTGGAGCAAGGCGGTGTTCAGGGACAAAACCAAGTAGCAGGCCGTTAGAGTGGTGATCCAGACAACGAAATGGAATACCAACGCTGGCAGCCCGTAGCGGTTCAAGATCTCCGGAATGCTCACGTGTTCCTCGATTTGGCTTTCCACTCTCCTGGGCATTGAAACTCATCAGTCATGAACAGCATACATTGCAACGCAATTGAGATCAGGTGTCGCAGTGCTAATGTCGCTCATCTCCACAGTCTTTGAGACGACTCTGGTGGAGGATGCATCTGGCGATTTTGATGGCCTTAGGCTGTCACTGAGCACGAGCCGACGAGCACACATTGAGGTCTGCGCCGGGAAGGGCCCAGGAAAGCTATCTCACATACCAGAAAAGCACAAAGGAGCACGACTCCCAGACGGAGGCGTCGTGTACGTCGAAAAAATACAACCATGGCCGGAAAAAGGCAAACAGCTGCGTTCGAAAATCTAGAGCCAATGTGCATGCCACGCTTCAAGGCTTGAACAAGTCTTGCACAAGCGGAAGTGTATGAGTTGCAATCCATTTGAGCCAAGTCTTTTACTTCGGTGCCAGTGTAGAGCTCATGAACATGTTGTTCATTCCCTGACTTTGAGGATTGGAACAGCGACCCCACCGCGATCCCGCTTTGAGGGAGCGCCGAGGCGAAGCTGGTGCAAGCTGCCTGTCTTGAGAGGTTCCCTGGCTCAAGTGTGCGCACCCGTGGCATAACCTCGCTGGATCACGGGAGACAATATTTAACACAAAGGACAAGGCATACTCCGCCAGAGGCAGTGACTCTTGCTGTTGTACACATGACATGTCTCTAAGCATGCGACCGCAACAGTTCCTCGCAGCATCTCTTGCAAAACATGCGGCGGCACGTCAACCATAGATCTCACTCGGGATTGCTTGTTTGACCTCACAGCTACTCACACGCTGGCCAAAGCTTACAGCCGTTCCCGATTCATCTATAGTGCCTGGCGAATTGAATTATTTGGCCACCCGCCGTGTCAACTCAAGCGGCGTCGCTGAACATGCGTGGTCAAAGCTCAGTTTTTACCAGATCCCGCATTGATTGTTTTCACAGCCCTAGAAGGAGTCCAAGCCCCTTGCCTTCTGGCCCTCAGGGCGTTCCCTACCGCATCAGCTGCGCGCCAGCCCATTTGCCCTTGGACTATGGCAGCCCTGGGGTTCAAGGCGGTCGGCTACCAAGCCTCCTTCCCAGATTGCGGCTGCAGCGGCCCTTGGCAAGTCACCTAGCCCCGGTCCCTTGCCCTCGGACTACGCTCTGGCCGTTCTTCAGAGTCAGGCAGCTACTTTCACGCAGCTGATACTTTCACGCATGTGAGGCATGAATGTCGTTTCTTGCCAGCTTTTCCCACGCCTGGCCCTAAGGAAGAATGGAGATCAAAGGAAGCCTCACTGAAATTGGCCCTGGCCGTGGAGCGCAACACAAAGCGTTTACATTTGAGTCGTTTTAAAGCGTTTACATTTGAGTCGACCAGCCGTACAGCGCAAAGGCTTTCTTTTGCAATCATGGTCCCTTGTTGCCGGAGCAAACAGCGCCAGCTGCGAAGCAAGAATCCTCTGCTGCGAGCTTCTTCTGCGCAGTTTGCCACCTGACTTGCACTTATATGTTTGATGGCAATGCCGCGAATCGAAAACGGACAATAGCTCACGAAAACATGAAGCCAAGTGGCCCTGCTCGACTGTGCGGTGCGCCAACCTGCCCTTGAGTTTGTCACCCAGAGACGTCCTAGAGTCAGGAGACAATGACCATGCGCGTCGAAATATGGGAATCTGCAAGCAGCTTTAAGCTGCCAGCAGCCCTGAAAGTCTCCGTGGCTTTCATTCAGAAGCCTAGCGGTCAAGAGACACGGAGACACCATTTTCGAGCACGGCAAAAGGCGACACCACGCTGAGACCCCTGCAGTTCAGCTTCACGAGCTTGGGATTCTGCCAAAATAGATAACCTCAATGACACCCTATCACAAACATGCGAGACATGGGTAATTATGTAGGGGACCCCCCCAAATGGTGGTTTTCCTTTTGGGTTCCCTTGAAAACCACACAAATGGAGTACCCTCAAAGAAAGACAAGCACCTGCAAAATACTTTACGAGTGTGTGGCTCATGCTCAAAAAGGCGAGGGACGCAACTGCAATCTAGGCAGAGCACCCTGCCTCTCCAGTTCTCTCTGCAAATGGGTAGTGCTTTGAAGTAGCCAAGCTAGTCCTTGAGCAGTCCGAGTCAAACGATAAACAAAACGCGCTTCTTCGATAAGATCGTTAGATCCGAGGTCAGCACCGCTAACTCCGGCAGCACACGTGGCCACCACGAGCGCATTTACGACATTCAGCCACCTGAGAACATTTGACAAACTCAGCTTGCTGCCGCAGCAATCGCTACAACACCCAGCTCGTACAACAAACCACCATGTGCCCGCATTGAATGTTTTGTTTAATGTGCCCGGGAATAAAACACCATGCGCCCTCGTTGCATGCGTTTGGTTTTTCTATTCCTCTGGCTGGCTGCTTCTTCTGATGAGGCAGTGACGCCGCTGGCTTGGTCTTGCGCCCCGCGTTGCGCCCCATGACAACTAGTCCAAAGCACGAACCGGGGATGCTTGATCCATGCTGCAGCATTTGCGTGCGACCTGAGAAATAAACTCTTGGGAAACAGCTCGCGTAAGCCCAAAAATGCACTGTGCCATGAGGTTTGAGTGTGTGTGTGTGTGTGTGTGCGGGGTGTCCGCGGGAAGGGCAACATTGGAGGTGTGCGCATGATCATCATCATCGGCCACCGCGATGCAAAAAAAAAAAGATAGCATAAATTATCAATATCATATATATGTATATATACATATATATATATATACATATATATATATATATATAATCATGACTCGTCGTTGTGTTTTACCTTTCTATATACGTTTCAAGTGTCCCGTTAAACAGCGTTGGGGATGCAGGAGATGCTATGATGATGATCATAATAGAGATCCTTTCCAGGAAACCTACGCGGCCTCCAAAACAAAATCTCAAGATGCTTTGCGCGTAATCTACGCGAACTCCAAAAAAGGCAGGAGGCCCCAAACAAATTGGGGGAGTGCTGTCCGAGAAATCTACGCGGCCCCTCAAAAGAATTCGGGAAATCCTTTCCAGAAAGTCTACGCGGCCCGCAAAAAGAAAGCGGAAGTGCTTTCTGGGAAGCCTGCGCGACCTCCTTAAAAATTATGCCATGATGATAATTATCGCCCCGGTCATCGTCCTCATCATCATCGTCCTCCTCATCATCATCGTCCTCCTCATCATCATCTTCCTCCTCCTCATCATCATCATCATCATTATCATCAGTTTGCGACAAAGGCGATGCTATGATGACAATGACAGTCATCATGATTCATCATGGTCATGTAAGGAATGCGATGACGATAGTTATCATCACGGTCACATATCATCATTACTCGTCGTTGTGTTTTCTTCTTAATATATATTACAATGATGGTTGTCATGACACCCGCGATCGTCATCATCATCATGACAGTCATCATGACAGTCATCATGACAGTCATCATGACAGTCATCATGACAGTCATCATGATAGTCATCATTATCATCACGGTCATACATCATGACTCGTTTCTGTTACTTGTATATAAATAGTCCCGTCAGGCAGCGTTGGGGATGCATGGGATGCTACGATGATAATCATGATGATGGAGATCCTTTCCGGGAAGCCTACCCATCCTACGCCCTCCAAAAAAAGTTCAGAAATTGCTTTCCTGAAAGTTTACATGCGTCCCCGAAAAAAGAATCTGGCTAAAGGAAGCTATGATGCTGCAGGCCCGAGGATACAGTGCGAGAAAGGAAGTGGGGGTCGGTGGATGGGAAAAGTGGAAATGAGTGCGTCTCTCCGGGAAAAAGTGGGAATGGTTAAGTCAGGCAGTGGAGTAAGTGGGGAAAGTGTGACATGGCGGAAGAGAAAGTTGAATACTGTGGGAGCCAGTGCAGTCTGTGGGAGTAAATGGGAGCAAACGGGATGAAGCAGGAGCAAGTGGTAGTAGTAAGTGGAAGATAGTAAGCGGGAGCAAATGGGAGCAAGCGAGTAAGTGGTAGTAGTAAGTGGAAGATAGCACTAGGGCCAAGTGGGAGCAAGTGGGTGCAAGTGGGAGCAAGTGGGAGCAAGCGGGAGTAAGTGGGAGCAAGTGGGAGTAAGTGGAAGCAAGTGGGAGTACGTGGGAGTAAGTGGGAGTAAGTGGGAGTCAGTGGGAGCAAGTGAGTGGGATCAGAGGCAGAGAGTCAGGTGTCAGCACAAAATGTGAGAATCACTAAATTCGGTCGAAATACAATGGAGTGGGAGTACGCGTAAGCTTCTAGGTGAGTTAGTAAGTCAAGCAGTGAATGCTATGTTTCTGCCAGTCGTGCATGTGCCACTCGCTTCTTGGAGCCTTTCCACTGGCGTTCATCCGTTTGGGCAACCCTGGCGCTTCGGCCAAGCTCTATAAACGAAATGCTTGACATGCAAGTGCAATCATGACTGCAAGGCTGCACTGGCGTATCTATTTCTCCCGCACTGAGTGGTACTAGGCGCATATTGTAGCGACGTTAGGATACTTTGCTCCTTGAGCACGATAAGTCCAGGATCTCTTTTGGACACTGTGACAAAAAGATTGCCTCCCCCAGCGAGGCCATGCGTCAGGGATGCAAGGGTGCCCGATTAAAGTTGTCGCCGCGTAGCAAAGCCTCCTGGACAAGTATTGAAACAGCAGAAGTATTGAATTTCAAACACACGATGTAAGCGCTGCCGAAGAGCATCTGAGGCATATCCATCGGCACCCACAACACCTGCAGCCTGCCGGTACTGCACAGCTTAACTTTCAAATTGCGGGTGCCAACTACAAGACCGCCGTCTCGCAAACACATCCTCCTGCCTGCAACTCAACCAACACATGCTGCGCAGCCACCAGAATACCCACCAAAGTCGCACACCTGGATGCCGGTGCGAGCCGCTGCTGGAAGCTTCTAAGTTCCTTGAGTGATGGACGAAATCTTGCACCACTTTGAAACCATGGTCGAAGGGGCATCATCATTTGGCTGTGGGTCAAAAATAGGTACCCAAAATGAAACCCTGGTAAATGCAAACATGGACCAAAACCTGCGGTCCCCTGGTGGCTTTTATTTTGACCCATACCCATTTTAGCGTTTCTGAACGGTGCAGGATTTCGTCCATCCACAGTATGCTCCGCAAACTAGCCAATCACCGATATGGACTGATTGGTGACAAAAACCCTCTACAAGAGCCAGGGGTTCAAATCCCCAAGCACCAATCCCAACCAACTGAGGGGTACCAGAGATATGGCTGTGGGTCAAAACCAATGGTACCATTCTGGGGTATGTGCACCACCCATTCCAGTCTATTTTGGTGGGGATTGGGATGTTAACTGGGGGCACGGGATTTTGACCCATGGCCATA